GCAGCTGTTACTAACGGGATGGTAGAGACTCTTATCCTGGAGAACAGGAAACAACCACAGATCTTAAAATACTTTGTTCCTTCTTCTCAAACTACAGCCAGTAGGAATGCATGCTTAAGCAGTTAAATTTAGCATCAAAGCCGATACTCAAATATCTGGATTCAATTTTAGTTCTTTATAGAAAATCAAGAGCAGTTTTGGAGTTCTGTACCTTTCTGTAGCGCCAAAGCTGATTCCCCTTCATGCCATGACAGTCGTACAGAGTAACAGGGCTGTTGTGTGAGACGGCATCAAAGCAGACCTTCCTCGTGTGATTGGGTTCACCCACTCGGATGTCTTCCCTCCAACCAAACGTCAACACCTGTGCAAAACAAAAACACTGAAGCCGTTGAGCATTTACTCACTGAATAAGTGAGTAAATGCTTATTCTGTGATAATAAGTATTTGCTTATTATCACTGAATAATAAGTGATAATACAAACAACTTTGCAAACAACTTTTTCCTTAAGTTGTTTGTAGGAAAAAAAATGTCTAAATTTGACCACCAACATAAAGTTCATTGGATTTATAAATAGCAACGCATATCGACAGCATCAGTTCAAGCAATAAGCCCCAAAACTTTTCACACACACAGCCGACATCAGCTGTACCTTGTCTGTGGGTGATGCTCCAAATTTTGCTGGACACTAAATGACCCCTGTACTTAATGTGATAAACAATGATCTTGTTATACTGAAACCATTTTCAAGTAATATCTTGATAATGGTGAAATAATGCAAGCTAGTCCTCTAAAAGACCAAGAAACTTACATTTTATTAATTATATTAAGTGACACTGACATGTCACTTAAAGATTATTTCTTGGATTTGCATAAGCAGACAGTTTTAAGTGATTCAACTTTAAATTTAAAAGCTAACAACACACATTATATCCAAGATGATGTAAATGTTTGGTTAATGGACAGCTACCTGTCCGTGGCTCCAGCTGATCTCCCCTCGACTTTTCACACAGGTCTCCAGCCGGATGGGACTCCCAGACACAAAGTGTTTGATCTCCATACACATCCCACTTCCCACATTTCTTATCTAAACACAAACAAATAGACAAATATAGAATATGATTTGCACTAAATGACAGTATTTTTACTGACTTGTCTGACTTTTCTAGAAATACATAAAATGTGGAATAAGCCCTCCTTCTGCTGTTTTGAAGTTTAGTTTTAATTCATTTCACATGTGAGGGGTCTGGGCTTTCCTTTGGATCCTGGCTGTGCAGCTCAGAGTCCCTGATGGGAGCCACAGCTTGTGGGTGAGAGGTCAGGAATTCATGTTATTGCAAACAAATGTCATCACTATATCGCCCGTGTAATTAAAAGCTTGAATTTGACTAACACTCAATCTAAACAGCAGTAGGTGTTTCTTCTGGAGCAGTTAAAGCTGTGGCTGCCTTATTATGCAGGAAAATGATTGAAGAAGGAGATTAAATACAGAACATGGTCAGCAGCGATCCCCCTCCAGGCTTTGGGGTTTGCACTACATTTCTGAGCTTCTGGGGTTCAATGGATAACTTTTATCACAATGACTTATGTTGGGTAGTTAGCTATGTAGATGTTTAAATATCAGGTTTGCTTTGTGAATATTTTAAAGAACCCTTTATAAACCACTGTTTGAAGGAAATTAAAAACAGAAATCATATTTCTCCCTCTAGTGCTTCCCTTCATTGGCTTTTGGTTAAATCCAGAAAAGAAGTTCAAATTCTTCTTCACATTCATAAAGTGTTTGATAATAATCAAACCCCTTCAGCATGCTGTGTAATGATGTGCTGTTGTGTGCATCTGATGTTAGCCTGTTTGTGATCGTAAAGATTTCAGATGGGAATAAATTGTCCTAATTTTAAAGGGGCAGTAGTATGTAAAATTCACTTTTTGATTTGTAATGTTATAATCTTATTCCTTCATCAGACCTGGAGTGTTGCCCTGATTCATTCATGTATGTTTGAGAATGTATTCAATCTCCATGGCAACAATTCAGGTGTGCAAAAAGCCTGGTTGGCCCTAGGTCCGCCTCCAAGGATGGAGCTCCTCTTCTGTGTTTCAGTTTCCAAACTTCTGAGCTTCAGCCCCACAGATCAGCCCTCCCCCGTTACCCCACCACTCAACTCCTTCAGACTAGCCAGCAAGAATTAGTAAACACCTGATGGAACTGCACATCTGTTTAGCTACATCTCAGTGCAACACTGGCAAAAATCTTGTTAAAGGGTTAATAAGAGGAGGGACGCTGTGATGACTTCCTGAAGGTGGAGTTTCAGAAAGAGCAGGAGTTTTTAAAGAAACAGAGACCCAATTTCAAGGCGTTAAATTACCACGTAAAATTTCATTTAAGTCATATTTGATAGATATAATAAATGAAGGCAAAGTAGTTACTTGATTTTTCTATGAAATGTCATTATGTGTTTGGAAAATACATACCACTGCCCGTTTAATCATCAAGCTACACTTCCCTTTAAAAGTTGCTCTTCTGGTTTTCCTTAATTCATCTTTCTTGAAATTTGAAGCATAATTAAAGTTGATGTGAAATATAAATAATTCCATAAATGTTAGTACAATTATTAACTTAATGCCTTTTTCATGGCATTGAGTCATTATGGACTCTCAATATGGATGCAGTGATGCAACTTTAAAAGACATTTTTGCCTTTACCTCCCCCCATGCAGCGGCGGGGGGCTCCACCGGTGGGTAATGTCTTGGCAGGTCCCAGGCCACCTCGCTCATGAACCACCTGAAGTTTTTGCAGCCTAGTCGGCTCCGCAGCTCCTTCTGTGCCGTCATGTCTCCGGCCGACAGGTGGCGGTACTCGGGCCGATGCTGGTAGACGTACTCGGCGTACTCGTCCATCCACACCTCCGCCACCCGTTTGAGATTCTGCAATCCATCGAATCACTCCGTGTTAACACTATATTAAAGTCATATCATCATACAAACGCAACAATTCATTGATTTTTTAAAAATTCTACCAGCATGTTTTGCTTTATTGAATCTTATGATACTGAAAGCAGTCAGCATTGAACCAAAGTGAGCCTTTAAAAAGGAGAAAATCACTTAAAGCTGTGAGAAACAACAAGACAAGGCCAAAGCTTTCTGCATTACAAATAGTGACCTCACAATTTCATGTTAAAAAGGCCGACTGCTAACGCCGTTGGTTGGAATAAAACAACAGAGCTGAACCTTCAGCTGCATTCCAGCCTGAGAGGCGAAGGGCATACATAATGAATGGTGCTCGGCTGAATATCAGATGATTTAGCTCTTTAGGAGAATTATCCATTCTGTGGTGGTGCTTTAAAAACAAAGGAACTGAAGCACATTCTTCATCGCTGCACCTGCGTAGGCCCAGAGAGAAGATCTCACAAATGAAAGACCACCAAGAGAGAGAGAGAGAGAGAGAGAAAGAGAGAGAGAGAAGAATGCAAACCGCATTGCATTCTTTATCTAACTCCTCTGCAACCGATCACACTTTCCACCGTCTTTTTCCTGTTGCAGAGTATTTACAGTCTGTTTTAAATCTGTTTGCTTAATTGAAGGCAAAAGCACAAAAGTTTGTCCAGTTTGGTTCATGGATTCATTTATCTCTGTGGAGAAACTCAGATGTTGTTTGAGTATTTATGTAAAATCAATTTTTTTTTATGTGATGCTTTAGGACCTAGAACACAAAAACTCTCAGGTAATATTCACATTTCCAAGCTCAACAGATACATATGCTGATTTGTAGCTGTATTGTAAACATAAATTGTGTAAAAACAGCTTTTGAACTTGGTTTTATTTTTGCTGTGGATGAATCTTATTTCCTATATTCCAACAGACTAACATTTTACTTATGTTTCATGAACCAAATTCAAGTAATAATTGAAGGGAAATGGATTAGGAGCACAGGTTATGTATTTAAAGAAACCCTGCATTAATAAAATATGCACAGGCTTAATTTAACAAGAAAGTGGACATTTGATGATGCAATAAAAATAATTTTAAATCTTATTTCCGTTACATGTTTGTTCTTTTTTCTTTGAAAAGTTTTGATCTGCTGAAACAAATTTTGACTCACATTAAAGAAAAAATAATGGAAGATTATTATGAGAACAACATTAAAATATATCCTGTATAATCTATATCTTCACCTTCCTAAAATGATGTTTTTTTTTTTTTTTTTTTTTTTCCAAAAATAAATCGTTTTACCTAAATCATTACATTTTTTGCGGTTTCTAGCATCTTATCTCCCCACTTAGTACAGTTAATCTCTGCCCTCAGACCTAATATCTATAAAATGAACATTTTATTAGAAAATGTGCTGCACTACCTTTGCCAAGCTGATCCCGCCGGGAATCTTATAGGGAACATATTTCCGGTAGATGTGCCCCACCCTGGAGCAAGGGATGTCCTCCATCCGGCCACCACACATCCACACCTACAAAAACACACACATGGGTGTGTCGACTGAAAAAAGCTAAAATAAGGTGTGAAATTGATGTTAAGGTTTTATCTGACTGGCTTGAAAATCTCTGCTGATGAGACGCAACTTCAAGGCAACAAAAGAAGACAGGTAGTTTACAAAACACAAGCAAAAGCTGCAGAATCTGTTAGGAGTAAAATTCCTGAAATATCTTTCAAATTCTTCAACAAAGGTTTAAATTCCTTTTAAATCACAATAATGCAAAAACAATTCTCCCTTTTAGAAATGTGTTCTTGGTTTGTTTTTTGTGACTCATTATGTGACATAGCAGACACTGAAGTACGCTTTCTGACTTTAATCCTCCTTCAACGTAAAGAAAAGAGTCATTCTTCTCCCACTTGGCTCCTGATGCTGAAAATAAACCAGGAGAAACAAAAAGGACGAGAAAGAAAAGACGACTTAACCAAACCAGGCAAACTGGAAAAAGGGGCTTTGTCTTTCACAACAAAAGCAAAATGGAAGAAAGAGAAGCTGGAGGGCAAAGAGAACATGGAGAGTCAGAAGGAAGGACGGAAGGAAGGAGACAGACAATGAAACAGAGTATTGTGGATTATATTCCATACTTTTCAACCCTTTTCCAGATGGAGTAGAAACCCTGAACTCTGAGGAGGTTTGCACTGCAATACAAATAAAAAAGATCTTGAATTTTGAGCTTTTACATAATTGCTGAGGTCATCTGGTTGTTAAATTGAGCTTTTAGAAGCTTTTCTTCTCATTCACTAAATAAACACATTTTTGGATCTTTAATGTTAGTTTAATAAATCGTGTCTGAAGAGTGTGTGTAGGTGTGTATGCGTGTGTGTGTGTGTGTGTGTGTGTGTGTGTGTGAGATGCGTGAATTGTGAAAATGTCTTATCCCTCTACTATGCATGCAAGTCTGTAATATGTTCAGACATTAGCTCGCTGTGTGAGCTGGAGACATTCAGCGCTCTGACACCAGTGTTTCCAGTATGGAACTCCAGATTAACCAACTAAACGATTGTGTTCCACACACAAGCTGGGCCTGGTTTGTCGGTGGGAGCAGCAGTTTGCTTGTAGGGATTAGTATGAGAGCCTGTTAATCTCCTCACCTCAGGAGACTGGCTGTCTGTGGCGTATCAGCTAATGGGGATCTTAATAAAGACGAAACCAAATTGAATATCTGAGCACATAAAGTAGACCTAGGAGGCACAGCAAGGCATGTGCTGATAGAATAATTTCTTACCATGATAATCCTGGCTGAAATAATAACCTTGGTGTGGGATATTATCTCACTAATTACTTAAATAAGATGAAAAGCTTCAGATGAGAGTTAAAAACATCAGAGCCTTTCTGGCTGTGCCTGTCGCTGGGTCAGGAGGAGGTTTGTCATTCATTTCACACTCAAAGCTACAAATAGAAGGAATTTTCACTTCTTACAGAGCGCTTAGCTCCAAGGCAGACTTATTTGGATTATATGTGTGTAATACAGATATTTCCCATCTAATTTTAACTGATAATCAATGCCAGTACAGACATTTAATTATGAAACCACTGCTTGAGCAATGTGTCATTTCAATTTTTATGCTATTTCACCAAAATTAAGAGACATTTAAGGGTGTGTGTGTGGGAGGGGGTGGGGGAAAGGGGGCAATTATATTTAAAACACAAGTTCATAGTTTTGCTTATTCAACATTTTTAGGGAAAATTGTGACCATCATCTGATTTTAACAGTTGAATAAGTCCTTGTAATCGGTCGCAGCAAGGAAAAAGATTAACTTTATCTATATCCTCTTGGTGAATAATAAAAAAATGGCAGACAATCACTAACAGTCAGTTTGACAATAAGTCAAATGAGTGGCTTCCAAACCGTTCAGCTTATGACCCAAACAGACTGAAAGTGATTTGATCTTTCTACCTTAATGCTTACTCAGAACTTTTTGTACGGCGTAAAAACACAAAATACCACAAAGTATTTTCTGTCTAGTTTATGGTGGAAACATCTTAGTACAGTTGAAATAAGACAAACCTAACTCACAATAACTTTTCAGCAGGATATACTTGGTCAATACTTTTATAATATTGATGAAAAAGTATTTGTTCCACAGAGAGATTATTTCACTTTCATCATGGGAAAAATGTATTTTATATGTGGAATATTCTGTTACTCCAGCTAGTACTTTTTTAAGCATTAATATTAAGGAATTATTTATTTAAAACAAGGTACTATCTTGCTGAAAAGTTATTTGTAAGCTAGTTTTGTCTTATATCAAATGTGCTAGGATATTTGCAGTAGAAACTACACAAAAATATTAGTCTCAGTTTTGTGTGTTTGCTTATTTTAGTTGACCTAAAACCAGAAAGATTTTGTCTGATTTATCTGGTGGGAAAACAGCTTACTCTAGAGATTTTTGTTTTGTTTTCAAACATATGTAAATATCTGTTTTCAGTTGAACACATTTATCCTTTTCACCTTGAAGGAGATCTCATATTGTTCTCCTCCCCAGATCTCCAGCCCGGTGTCGTATCCTCCCAGTTCCCAGAACCACTTCCTGTCCACAGCAAACAGTCCACCTGCCATCACTGGAGACCTGGAAGATGAAGTAAAGCAGGAACAGTTACACATTGCTTTGACGACAGGAGGTGCTACTGGACTATGAAAGGTATATTTTCTGAGTCTTGGATAAGAACTGGAGCATATGAGCCTGTTGAGTTTATACTGTACATCATTTTAGGTTGTGTGCATTTTAAATACAGATCTTATTTCCTAGCAGAAACACCCTTTTTGGTTGAATGAAAACAACATTACTAAATCTGCAAAGTTTAAAACTAATTTGAGGCTTAACTGTATTGACCTACTTGCTATATGAAGTATGTGTTAAGTAATAGATCCTTGTTTTGCTTCCAGGAAAACAAGAATCCAATAACTAAATATTCCTTAAGCATCTTCTCAATATCAACAAGATGGTTGTTCAAGCAATTAGAGAATATTTGGTGCCCAAACTAGGCTTTAATAAGTTGTAACTAAGTTAACTATAAATTACTACACTACTTGGAGAGTCTCCTTTATTTGCTTTGCTTAAACCTGTAGACGGTTCTAAGAAGATTGTGCATTTATAGTGACACTACTTCCTAGCACATAACGATGTACGGAGAGCACCACTCAGAGAGCTATAGACTCTCTGAGCTGCGGAGTGGAGGGTTGTTAGCGGCTGCTGAACCTGACTGTTGCTGCTGCACACCTGAGGCAAAGAATTAGGGCAGCAAGTGAAGCAACAAACACTTGTTTGTGTCAGCCTTCGATGAAATCTCCTTCTGGCAAACGCATTACTTAAACAAGCTGATCTGTCTTGTCTACCCATCAACAACTGTATTATCCAGTGCAAGAAATACACTAAGCTGCGCATAAATGTGCTCAACGTTGCTATAGCTACTGGGCTTTGATTAAATAGAAGATCGGAGGCAGCATCCCTAAAGGTGGTCTTTTCTTGCCAAATTTGTCCCTGAGGAGGATCAATTAAGCAGATTTTGTACAGTCAGCCAAGAGAAAACCTCTGGGGCTTTCTTCACACCACAGGACCACTAAGCAGAAAAGATCCCCACTGTGAAAAACCGACAGGTCTTTGCAGTTTTTACAAGACATGAACACAATCAAAGCAACACAGCAGATACTGAAGATATTCATGGGAGTCTTTTGAACACCAGAGTCAGTACAATGTTATATTTTTAACTTCTTGTTTTAGTAAGAAGAGCAAAGGAGATAAAAACCTTTAATCCACAATACAAATAGTCATAGCATGATAACTTCTGGCTGATGACATATTATTCTTGTATAGGCAGCAAGAACTTTACCAGGTTTTAGATAGGATGTTTATACTATGAACATGCAGCCCAAACAATATTTATCAAACACTAAATTACTATTAAAAATGATGAAGGAAAATGCAAAAACTTGTGTGAAAAGAATCTGAATAAACCACAAAACTCAACGGTTTTTGAAAATATTTTTTAGCAGTAATACATCTTAATTGTTTTCTGTATATCTTTTCTTAAATTATAGTTGAGCAATTTTTACTCTTCTTTCCAAGATTGCTTCATTGTTTCCATGTACCGCTGTGTATTTAGTAATTTTGTCTTTTTATTATATTCTGATATTCAAAACATTAAAGTTTAAACTGTAATTTATTTTTGTAATGTCCACAGTGAAGCACTGCTCTCAATCTAAGCAGATGAGGCAAAGTTCATTGTTTCATTCTGCATTTGCTCTTTTTAAGTTAATTTTCATTAAGTCATCAGGATCATTTCTTGTTTTCACCTTTCAAAAACATTTCCTTCTGTAAAAATATACGCTATATTAAAAAAAAAAAAAAAAAAAAAAAAATTTACATTGTTTCATTTGCATCCCTTTTCTAAATTCAACTTCAAAATGTCCAACAAAACTGTAGAGAGAAATCTACCAAACTAAGTATTTTTAGTATAAGGCATTATACTAACCCAAGGGTTAGTACAATGCCCGGTTGAACCCTAACCTTAACCCTAACCCTATATTATAACAGTGGAGTCATGTTTATGGTACAACGCCACCACATTTCTGGAGATTGCTGCTACTCACTCAAACGGCTCAGTGGGATCATCCCTCTTCATCTCTGGAGGAATGGGGATCCGTTTGTAGTACATTTCCCAATCAAAGGCCCCCCGCATGGCGTCCCCCGCCTGTGTGTCGTACCCAAAATGGTCGTGGTCGATGACATCTATCATGGGACACACAATGGTCTTCCGGTTCTGGGCAATCCGGTCTAAAAAGCACAGAGGGACACATTTCATTGTGTCTAAAAAATTACAGCAGGGGAATATTCTGAATAATATGCAAATATGTTTTCAAGTCATTTGACAGATAATTGAAGGGACTGGATTATTTCCTTTTTTTTTCAAAAAGGACATTCAGAGTGTTTTCTGTGAGGTTTACTTTCTCCCATCTTAGCTGAGTAAGAAGTCAACTATGATGTTTTATCTTTCAGTTAATGCACTTTGGTTTCAACTAGTTACATTTACTTACTCACCTACATGAAGTATAAATATGTTTAAAAAGTAACTTTTTGGGAAAAAATACTTGAAGGCAGTGTTGTGGTACTCGAAGTT